TCCCATATTTGGCCAAAACTTGCATGTGCTTCCTCTTTATGTATCCTTAACTTCAGCTTCATATAACAAGCCTCCAATAATCTCCGCCTCATACACACTGAGCTATTGCATCATGAATGTTCAATTTTTGTTTATTGTCTTTTTCTCCCGTTTAAAACATCCTTCACGTACTTTTCAAAAAAATACCTTTTCCCAAGGATCATTTAGCGATGTTCTGATAACGCTTTAGTTTTAAAAAATAACAGTCGTTTTCAGTGATGCATCCAGTCAAGTGAGTGGTAGACCCGAGAGTGTCACGTGGGAGATAAGATAAGTAAGGCCACAAATAGGCCATTGAAGAAACGTGAGAGGACTGGGAAAGAGTGTGGTTGGTTTCCGTTTGTTTGAAAAAGTATGATATTCAAATGAAAGATCAACTAAATTAGAGAGTCTGAAGCAAGAATAGAAGTATTTAGAGCGGGAAAATGGCAAAATTACAGCTTTTCAATATCACCTAAAATGGTGAGTTTGTATGGATTGGGTAGACAGGGCAAAAAATTTTAAGGGTTTGTATGGAATTTTTGCAACTTTTGCAAGGCTTCAATTTGGACACTTTTCCGCTGAAAACTCTCAAACTTGGCTGGGTAGCTTTTCATTCAGTAACATTTCAGTTGAAAAGTTTAGATTTTCAATGTAATCAATATAAGAAACTCGTCCCAGTCCTCTAATGTTTCTGCAATGGCCTATGTAGAAGCGAAAATTAATTGACTGGAATGTTTTCTTCTTTCCAAGTGGAAGTCATCTATACTGCTTGGGGTCCCTGGGGTCCATGCGAAACCTGTGGTCTCACCGCTCGTCGAATAAGAAAACGTCGATGTGTTAATCCTGGTATAGAGTATTTTGCACCTCCGAGGGGCTGCGGCTACTGGTCAAACTTAGCACAGCAGGATCACTGTTACCATAGCTGTGGAGGTGAGAACAGGTCTTTTGCTATATAAAGTTCATAAGTTCTACAGTATCAGTTTCAAAAACCCTTTGAGCCCACTAACTAGGGGGTAAGCCTCTATTACTGTTGCGGCGATAGAGTATGTAGAGTTCCCACTGTACTTCACCCTTACTTGCCATTCCCTACTATGTGGAATTGGACTTACTGAGCAGCCCAGGGTCCGGTGTAGACCCGAGCTTAACACCCCATGCTCCCCAGCTGTAGGGAAGATGGCCTAACCTAAGCTCCTTAGTAAGGAATGCTATAAACACAGCGGTCAAACACTGCGCATGCACGAGGCTTGAAAATAATAAGAGGGATTTACGAACACGTGGTTAGCCTAAGGTAGGGAAGAAAATATAAAATTCTTAACTATTTTGATGCGTAAGATAAATGAAAGAAGCATTTGATATCCCAACTGTTTTTATCGCGGACGCTTCGTTTCGGTGATGAATGCAAATGACAGAACATTTCTTCTACCCTTGCTGCAAAGTCTACTGTCCGCTGTAAACATAGACCTGCGATCGTCACATATATCTTGTGTGCCTATGGTACTTCACTTTTTTCCTCCTTTCCCTCGATGTTTACCGATGACTCCACCTCGGACATAACGAAGAATAACTACTACTAGCGCGACCAAGCTTTCGGAGGACGACTTCATCTCTCTGCCGTGCAAAGTGTAAAAGAAGTACGAGAGTAAACTAGCACAAGTCTAGAACAATAATGTGTATAAGTCTCTAGTAATTATCTCACGATTCATCACAGCTGTCAGAAAGGTTGGTGCTCTTCTCCGAAAGCCGGTGTTTTGAAGGTTGACAATTTACTTTCGTTTCCCTTTGGGATTGGCTTTTCAAGCGAGCAATAGGTTCCCACAGTTTTCTTTACCTCTTCTCGATTCGTAGATACGCATAGAACGCATTGACTAAGAAAGATGGTAAACTCCAAGCCCGGTTGGGAAATAGAGTGGGACGTAAAGTAGAAGCTTGACAAATACCCAGCTATCCTGCTCCCATATTTGGCCAAAACTTGCATGTGCTTCCTCTTTATGTATCCTTAACTTCAGCTTCATATAACAAGCCTCCAATAATCTCCGCCTCATACACACTGAGCTATTGCATCATGAATGTTCAATTTTTGTTTATTGTCTTTTTCTCCCGTTTAAAACATCCTTCACGTACTTTTCAAAAAATATACCTTTTCCCAAGGATAATTTAGCGATATTCTGATAACGCTTTAGTTTTTTAAAATAGCACTCGTTTTCAGTGATGCATCCAGTCAAGCAAGTAGTGGACCTGAGAGTACAGTATGTGTCACGTGGGAGAAAAGATAAGTAAGGCCACAAATAGGCCATTGAAGAAACGTGAGAGGACTGGGAAAGAGTGTGGTTGTTTTCCGTTTGTTTGAAAAACTAAGATATTCAAATGAAAGATCAACTAAATTTGAGAGTCTTAAGCAAGAATAGAAGTATTTAGAGGAGGAAAATGGCAAAATTACAGCTTTTCAAAGATCACCTAAAATGGAGAGTTTGTATGGATTGGGTAGACAGAGCAAAAAATTTTAAGGGTATGTATAGAATTTTTGCAACTTTAGCAAGGCTCCAATTTGGACACTTTTCCGCTGAAAACTCTCAAACTTGGCTGGGTAGCTTTTCATTCAGTAACATTTCAGTTGAAATGTTTAGATTTTCAATGTAACCAATATAAGAAACTCGTCCCAGTCCTCTCATGTTTCTGCAATGGCCTATGAAGAAGCGAAAATTAATTGACTGGAATGTTTTCTTCTTTCCAAGTGGAAGTCATCTATACTGCTTGGGGTCCCTGGGGTCCATGCGAAACCTGTGGTCTCACCGCTCGTCGAATAAGAAAACGTCAATGTGTTAATCCTGGTATAGAGTATTTTGCACCTCCGTGGGGCTGCAGAGACTCGTCAAGCTTAGCACAGCAGAAGCACTGTTACCATAGCTGTGGAGGTGAGAACAGGTCTTTTTCTATATAAAGTTCATAAGTTCCACAGTATCAGTTTCAAAAACCCTTTGAGCCCACTAAGTAGGGGGTAAGCCTCTATTACTGTTGCGGCGATAGAGTATGTAGAGTTCCCACTGTACTTCACCCTTACTTGCCATTCCCTACTATGTGGAATTGGACTTACTGAGCAGCCCAGGGTCCGGTGTAGACCCGAGCTTAACACCCCATGCTCCCCAGCTGTAGGGAAGATGGCCTAACCTAAGCTCCTTAGTAAGGAATGGTATAAACACAGCGGTCAAACACTGCGCATGCACGAGGCTTGAAAATAATAAGAGGGATTTACGAACACGTGGTTAGCCTAAGGTAGGGAAGAAAATATAAAATTCTTAACTATTTTGATGCGTAAGATAAATGAAAGAAGGATTTGATATCCCAACTGTTTTTATCGCGGACGCTTCGTTTCGGTGATGAATGCAAATGACAGAACATTTCTTCTACCCTTGCTGCAAAGTCTACTGTCCGCTGTAAACATAGACCTGCGATCGTCACATATATCTTGTGTGCCTATGGTACTTCACTNAAATAGGATCATACGAAGATGTGTATTTGGATTTTCCCATACTCGAGCATCAGTGGTTTCAAATCGTAGCCTTAACTCGAATAGGATTTACAGATTCATTATTTAAGTAGCTATTAGCCGTGCGTCTCTTACAAACGAGCTCTTCAAGACATAATTTGGAAGCTGGCTAACGTTGTTATCCTTACCTCCTACAAGTAAGCCGGCTTTCAAGGTAAATTACTTATAATCAATAAAATAGACACATCAACAGTTATCAATAGTATGGGTTTCTCGTTTTGTAGTACTTTAGAAAGCGAGGTTACTAATCCTGTCGTTTTGTAGTACTTTAGAGGGCGAGGTTACTAATCCTGTTGATGGTCACGTGGTGCGTTTGTCGGAGGGGGAGGAGGATAACAAAATGGCTATTTTTCGTTTGACATCTTTCCATGAAAAATGCCTTTATTTGCGTAAATATAAATGCGTTTTGGACTAAATATTACGTTCTTTCTATTCTGTTTATTTTTACTCATAGTTTATAGAATGGAGTGGTCTGAGCATTATGGAATGACTCCAACTAATCTTAGTTGCTATGACAACATAGTCATTATAACGCATGCAGTTTCGTGGAATGATAATGAAAACTGCAATTATGATCAAAGCGCAATGACAATCATTCAGAACCTTTGCGATGGCAGAAAGTCGTGCGTTGTGGCGAATAAAAGACGTCTGCTGGGAGGTTCCTGTGAACGTTCCCTAATATTTGCAATGTATTACAGCTGCCAGACAGGTACGTCGAGAAATTAGGTATGTTCTATTCTATAATGTTAACGCAAACTACCCTGGAATGAAGCCGGCTACTGAATTGCAAATGCGTCGCGTGGATGGTCGGCATGTGCGGGCTCAAGCTCTGGTCAGGTCACTATACTGTGCTGTTGGGCAAGACATTTTTCTCTCAAGGTGCCTATCTCCACCGCAGAGGAGAAATGAGTGTTCTGAAAATGTCAAGGAATCCTAACGAGAACACTGGTGGGTTATAACTGGCGATGAATTAGCATCCCATAAGAGCGTTACGCAATGATTCTCGTTACTCAACTATGTGGAAACTGAGATACGCTCTGGTTGTGTGAGTAACTTTTCTCGTTGGCAGACTCACTTATCTACTCGGTTGAGATGGTTGCGTAAGTTTCTTAGACCAATCAGAGCGTATAATAAGCTAAAACAATAATGCAATCGAGGATAACTTTTAAATTTCGTTCTCTATCTCCTTTTTTCCTTTGAATCAACTGCAGCATATGGAGGTTTGGACACAGAATGGTCTGCTTGGAGTAATTGCACAGAATGTGGTCACAGACCTGTCAGGAGAAGAATAAAGCCATGTCTCAGTCCTGTTTCTAAGAATAGGGGAGCCCATTGTCCTTTGATTGAGCAGATTGTACCTTGTAACTTCCCATGCCCGGGTAAGTGAAGGGAAAAATTAATGTTCTTCTTGTTATACTAAATATCAAACTGCAAGAAACTTGTAAAGGACTCCTTGACCAGGCGTAAAACTGCTTTCGAGTTTTTATTTTACACGCTGAAGATGTTAAGTTCAAATGTACAAATCTAACATAAGAGAATGCGGTAGAATCATCCTCCTCTAAGACATTTTACACATATGGAGAGTCATAACGTACCAACCAAATTTGCATTATTTAGAATATTATGGTGTTCATTTGCAAAGTGATCAATAGCTTGTTCCCTAACTCTATCTCTATATCTCTTTGTGCCATAAGGCACACAAGGCTTTGACATTCTCTTTCCATCCACTTCGGTTTGTTGCTAAAGTTCTAACAGTCGTCCATGATTGCCACCCAGCTATTCGTCTTTCATCTTTAATCATTCTCCTCCATGTTGTTTTTGGTCGACCTAGTCTCCTTCTCCCTTCTCCCCTTCTTTCTCTTTAGCTTGTTCATTGAATACTTATTAAAATGAATTTACAAAAACATCGTTTTATAAAATTTAAACCAATTTATATTTGGATATGTAATCTGACTCCGTTCGCGTTGAGTTTACATGAACTGACATATAAGAAGTGAAACGCCCATCACCGTAAACACTTCAATAAGCCAGCCAACGGATGTTCACCGTTAAATAGGAAACCTGAGACAAGGCGAGCTTTGCAATTTACCCCAAAGTTTTAATTTTTTTCAAAACAAATTTGCAATCAGACACTTTAAATGAAATAAGCTATGTAAACTTTCGTTAGTGTCTATAAACGATTAAAGGTATTGTATGACGTTTGCTAACTGTAAGTCATTTGCAAATATTCAAGAATAATATTGGAAATATGCCATTTTGGTTATGTCGAGTACTTTCTGTCATTTTATTTCCAACCAGCATTGTAAATGATATAACGCAATAACTCATTCCGTTGATTTGTAAACTTAACAGATTGTCATGACAGTTTTGAAAGGTATTAACAACAACTCAACCTGCGGCTGAGCATCATCAAGGTAACATTTTATTCTCTAAATATCATGTCTCTACAGAAAACGAATAGTTCTATATTAGGGAGGATTTTTGAAAATGAAGTTTACGCATGCGTGGAGATTTTGCGGGCTGCAAGCAGTGAGCAAAATGTCTACTCATAATTGATAATAGTACTAGGACCGAGTGGAGTCCCATTCAGACAGAATATGCGGCTTAATGAAAATCAAAGCAGGTAATCCACCGATCACATTTGAGAAAATTGTAATGGTTATGAATAACAATCAGATAATAATAATAGTTACTCCTGATTTCAACTCGTTACTGTAAGCGTCACCCCTCACACTTATAACTATCAACGGTTATTCTCCGTAGTGGAGATTAATCATGGTGGATATATATCTTATTAACCAAGCGCGAGGGCCGTACTGGGAGAATATCGGCCCGAGGTCTTGACAGTACGGACCGAGCGCAGCGAGGTCCGTACAAAAAAGACCGAGGGCCGATATTCTTCCAGTACGGTCTCGAGCAAGCTTGGTTAATAAGNGGTTCATGCCTGTATGATAAAGATGAGAGAGATTTTTATCGTTGCTTAACAGAAATAGGGAAAAGAATTTTATTGTGACTTGAAGTTCTTGTATAGTTCTAATCATAGATGTTATTTATCTGTAGATAAAAATGTGAGCCTTGATGATGGACAAAATACCACAATTGTGTGTCCTAAGGACAAAGATTACTACACTGTGATCGAGATACGTTCAGTCTTCTATGGGAACGGCATTTGTCCATCAAACAACGGTAGCAAGGTTGCTGTCATGAAAAGATGTCAGGGACGAAGCCAATGCTACCTCGAAGCTTCAGCCGACATATTTAACGATTCTTGTCCAGGGTTCAAAAAATATCTGAATGTAACGTACAGGTGCCAGTCAAGTAAGTGCAGTAGTAAGTAAATAGAGAGCCATATTTGCAGTATTTGGTCAAAATAAATGAAAAGTTTTGGCGTTCTATCATTTATATTAAGAGTCATGGAGAGTATAAAGGGATTACTTCATTTTAGAGTACGTGGCATTTTGAACCAGTTTTTAGAACACATTTAGTTGGGATAGGTCTACACCCGAACAAAGAGGATCATACGAAGATGTGGATTTGGATTTTCCCACACTCGAGCATCAGTGGTTTCAAATCGTAGCCTTAACTCGAATAGGATTTACAGATTCATTATTTAAGTAGCTATTAGCCGTGCGTCTCTTACAAACGAGCTCTTCAAAACATAACTTGGAATTTGGTTAACGTTGTTATCCTTACCTCCTACAAGTAAGCCGGCTTTCAAGGTAAATTACTTATAATCAATAAAATAGACACATCAACAGTTATCAATAGTATGGGTTTCTCGTTTTGTAGTACTTTAGAGGGGCGAGGTTAGTAATTCTGTCGTTTTGTAGTACTTTATAGGGCGAGGTTACTAATCCTGTCGTTTTGGAGTACTTCAGATGGCGAGGTTACTAATCCTGTCGTTTTGTAGTACTTTAGAGGGCGAGGTTACTAATCCTGTCATTTTGGAGTACTTCAGAGGGCGAGGTTACTAATCCTGTCGTTTTGTAGTATTTTAGAGGGCGAGGTTACTAATCCTGTCGTTTTGTAGTACTTTAGAGGGCGAGGTTACTAATCCTGTTGATGATCACGTGGTGCGTTTGTCGGAGGGGGAGGAGGATAACAAAATGGCTATTTGACATCTTTCCATGAAAAATGCCTTTATTTGCGTAAATATAAAGGCGTTTTGGACTAAATATTACGTTCTTTATATTCTGTTTATTTTTACTCCCATAGTTTATAGAATGGAGTGGTTTGAGAATTATGGAATGACTCCAACTAATCTTAGTTGCTATGACAACATGGTCATTATAACGCATGCAGTTTCGTGGAATGATAATGGAAACTGCAATTATGATCAAAGCGCAATGACAATCATTCAGAACCTTTGCGATGGCAGAAAGTCGTGCGTTGTGGAGAATAAAAAACGTCTACTGGGAGGTTCCTGTGAATATTCCCTAACATTTGTAATGTATTACAGCTGCCAGACAGGTACGTCAAGAAATTAGATATGTTCTATTCTATAATGTTAACGCAAACTACCCTGGAATGAAGCCGGGTACTGAATTGGAGATGCGTCGCGCTGATGGTCGGCATGTGCGGGCTCAAGCTCTGGTCAGGTCGCTATAGTGTGCTGTTGGGCAAGACATTTTGCTCTCAAGGTGCCTCTCTCCACCGAAGAGGATAAATGAGTGTTCTGAAAATGTCAAGGAATCCTAACGAGAACATTGAAAATAATAAGAGGGATTTACGAACACGTGGCTAGCCTAAGGTAGGGAAGAAAATATAAAATTCTTAACTATTTTGATGCGTAAGATAAATGAAAGAAGGATTTGATATCCCAACTGTTTTTATCGCGGACGCTTCGTTTCGGTGATGAATGCAAATGACAGACCATTTCTTCTACCCTTGCTGCAAAGTCTACTGTCCGCTGTAAACATAGACCTGCGATCGTCACATATATCTTGTGTGGCTATGGTACTTCCATTTTTTCACCCTTTCCCTCGGTGTTTACCGGTAACTCCACCATGGACACAGCGAAGAATAACCACTACTAGCGCGACCAAGCTTTCGGAGGACGACTTCATCTCTCTGCCGTGCAAAGTGTAAAAGAAGTACGAGAGTAAACTAGCACAAGTCTAGAGCAATAATGTGTATAAGTCTCTAGTATAGGACCTTTGAAACTTCGAACTTTCCTTAGAAAGTGCGAAAAACTACATATCACTTAGATTTTCCATGTTTACAAAAGCAAATTATCCATCTAGGTGCGCAAGTGCAATCATTTGACTGCTGTGTTGATACTGTAAAGCAATTGGTTACCGCTGATCAAATGTCTTTACTTCTGTATGCGGTATGCTTACATGTCAAAATAGGCATATGGACTGCCTTTGGCTGATTCTCACAGGTTATTGTCTCAGCATTCATGGTCACATTGCTTCTTTTGTACTACTTTATTCTAGTACTAAGATTATGGTTTTATATCCAACGATATGCTTATGTTGGACATAAAATTGCACTGACCTTGGTATCCGTAGCTTTCATTGAAGAACATCCTAAACTAGAGGGACTCCAGCCCCAAAGGCTGTCATTTGAAAGAAGGTTCATGCCTGTATGATAAAGATAAGAGAGACTTTTATCGTTGCTTAACAGATATAGGGAAAAGAATTTTATTGTGACTTGAAGTTCTTGTATAGTTCTAATCATAGATGTTATTTATCTGTAGATAAAAATTTGAGCCTTGATGATGGACAAAATACCACAATCGTGTGTCCTAAGGACAACGATTACTACACTGTGATCGAGATACGTTCAGTCTTCTATGGGAACGGCATTTGTCCATCAAACAACGGTAGCAAGGTTGCTGTCATGAAAAGATGTCAAGGAAGAAGCCAATGCTACCTCGAAGCTTTAGCCGACATATTTAACGATTCTTGTCCATGGTTAAAAAAATATCTGAATGTAACTTACAGGTGCCAGTCAAGTAAGTGCAGTAGTAAGTAAATAGAGAGCCATATTTGCAGTATTTGGTCAAAATAAATGAAAAGTTTTGGCGTTCTATCATTTATATTAAGAGTCACGGAGAGTATAAAGGGATTACTTCATTTTAGAGTACGTGGCATTTTGAACCAGTTTTTAGAACACATTTAGTTGGGATAGGTCTACACCCGAACAAANCGAAAGTCTAGCTTCTTCACGGAGTGAGTACTGTTACCATTTCTCTGCCAAGCTCGCTGGGTCAACTGCTTTATCTGCATATATGGCATGATAATTCAGGAAATAATCCCTCCTGGTATCTTGATCACGTGGCTATACGAGACGTTTTGAAGGACGAAAAATGGACCTTTATGTGCAGAGATTGGTTGGCTGTTGAAAGTGGCGACGGGAGAACGGAAAAAGTGATGTACGTTGCAAACATCACTGAAATGGCGAATTACAGGTACTTATTTTTGTCTCACAGTGCAGATGGCCTCTACGACGAACATTTATGGATTTCAGTGGCCGCCAAGCCACCTCAGAGCAGTTTTTCTCGTGTGCAGCGTGCCTCCTGTTGTCTGTCGATTTTGTTCTGTACCATGATCACAAACGCTATGTTTTACGTATGCGCCAAAGTTGACACTTCTGCGGTATTCTATGTTGGTCCTATTAAGGTTACCATGCGTCAACTAATGATTGGAATACAGAGCAGTTTAATCATCTTCCCTATAAACTTGGCTATTACACAACTGTTTCGCAAATCATCTACTGCGTCAATGTCCAATTTAGGAGAGACTGAAAGAGAGAAAAGTGCTTTATTCAAAAGAAAACCAATAACACTCCCTGGTTGCTTTGGTCGCCGCGTAAATCTGTGGTCAGAAAAATACGTTCCCATGACATATGAAGCAAATAGTACAATCAGCATTTCTACTCATAAGTCAGCATCCGCAGATAGGCTAACAGTCAGTGAGAGTGTGTTCGACCCAAAGAATGTTGACCCTAAAACTTCCCGAGAGAAGAGAAGGAAATGTTTGTACACGTGTTTGTACTACCTTGCCTGGGTATTGTGTTTCGTATCAGTGTAGATATCTGCTTTCTTCACCCTGTCGTACTCTCTTCAGTGGGGAAGGGAAAGATCTCAGCAGTGGCTCCTATCGTTTTTCGTGTCTTTTATTCAAGATGCTTCCATCTCTCAGCCAGTTAAAGTGGCCTTAAAAA